CAGCACTGTTCCAATCCCCTAATTCCCCAATAAAAATCTTTAAAAACAAAAGTGTGTTAACCTAGATGCACAGAAACAATAGACAGGGCTTGCTTAAGGCAAAGGTAAACCTTTTACGAAAGACATTATAGGCCTGGAGCGTAAATACCCACCATGACCTGCCCAGGTAGGAATTGATCAGATCACTCTGTGAGGCTACTTTCCATAGAACCAACCCCCTTTTCATCTGTAATTCCCATTTGGTCACAAATCAATCTGTAGGATGCATTGATGACCAAACTTTTGGTTGGATAGTGTGGCCTCAAAGCGCTAGAAAAACTCATTCCTAGGAAGTCTCAGTATCATTGTCTTGTTGACCACTGGGGCTGGGGCAATGTCATAACCATGGAATAGGAGTTAAGGATAAATTTTCCCAAAAGGGAACAGGCAGGTAAATGGAAGGCAGTCAGATCATATGGCCTTCTTTGCAAAAATAAAACACTCAATCATTTTTATCCTGTGAACTATCAGGATCCGAGTTTTGCCTTTTGTCTCATTTTTCGGAACTTGGCATATAGTATAACATTTACATAAGCCATTAAAAAAAGTATTAAAAGCTATCTTATACCTGTTCAATAATCACAACAGTTGATTTACAAAAACCCAAAGAAATGTTAGAACTAATATCATTAGCAGATGGGTAAAGACAAATACAGTAAAACCTTGGATTGCAAGTAACGCAAGATGAGCAAACATTTCTATTAGGTTGGTACAAAAGTAATAGCGGTTTTTGCCGTTACTCTCAATTACTTTTGCACCAACCTAATAATACATTTTAATGTGGTAAATGAGTGATGTCTTGCAATACGAGTTGTTTGTTTCCGGAACAAATTATGCTTGCAAACCAAGGTATTGCTGTAATTGGTTTCTGAGTTTAAACATCAATCTGTAGATATACAGGCCTTGTTGACGTGTTGGGAGAGCTGTATACCTCTGACTGCTCCTCACCCTAGAGGAATCTTTGCTGTCCCTTGTAGGTGGAGGTGACTGTCAGAGACAGGTTAGATGTCCATTTGTGGTTAGATGCCTGATAAGGTCCCTTCCAACAAGATTGGAGAGTGTTTATTTGATATCCCTTCCAATAAACAAAACCTCCAGGTGGCAGACAGTGATCTTTAAAGTCTGTCTCCTGGGAGCTTGCTGTGAAAGGAAGCAATTAGCACTGTGGCATTTTCTTGAAGTGACTTTATCAAATCTTGGCAATAGTGTAAGATGTCTTCTTTCAATAGTGTCAGCTCATAAAAGTTCCTTCATGTATATAAGTCCACCTTAAATGCAGTATGATGCATGAAGGAATGCAAAAACTAAAAAAAAAAGGGGGTTTGCCAGGGAGTTGGGAAAGAACCAAGTGGCTGTCTTGAGCTACCCATAGCCCCAACTGTTTAATTTATGACCGTTATTTCCCCATACAATATACCCTAGACGTTTTTTCATCACTTATTTTAAAACTGAGTCTCATGCAATTTCAAATCTTTTGAAATGTTCCAAGGACCCTTCTGAAACAACAAAGTTATTTCTACATATATTGAGATTCTAACACTTATAACTTCAATTTCTAATGAAAACTAAGAAGTAAAAGTAATTCGCATTCTTTGTCTTCATACATCTGCCTAGCATTTTGTAACATCTAGAAACATTTCATAGACATCAAAGTCAATTGGTAACATAGACTTATTGTTGTAAAACCCAGTCAAAATAAAGAGGTCTTTTATTTAAACCAAGAAACTTAAACTAGCTTTTATTTACTAGGTTTTAATCTTAGATCATATGCACTTGTAAAGCACTTAAGTTAGTTTCTGTATTTCTGAGAATTTTTAAATTGTCAGTCCTTACAAGCACTTACCTTTAAATTTTAACAATACCATCTGGAGGTAGAAAATTATCTCACATTTACAACAAACATATATAGACACACACACAGCTAGACACCTTTTAGCCACGAGAAAAATTCACTAGTTTATAAAAGAACAGTAGGATCCAAATTTTACTCTGGAAGTATTTACAATTTATATGTCAAGTTCCAGCTGACATTCCCCCTTTTAAAATAGGGACAGCCATTTTTAATACCTCAAATAACTTGGTTGATACCTAAACGATATCATAGGTTGTTACATTTATATAAATCTTCTTTTTGAATCTATGAGAGACCAATTAAATATATTTTCCATTCATTCTGCCTAATTTTATAGCCAGATTTTTCTAATTGTGCACACAAAAGATTAATTTAGAAGTATCAAACGGTCCTCATCTTGGCCATCTTGGTTATAAATGTGAGGCTGACTGTCGTGGAACTTGTCGGCCTAGATGAGTCCCCATGTTAATTTTGAGAGCTGTAGAGTCTGAACAAACTTCTGAGTAAATCCAGCCTTTACATGTATGTCTCCAGACCAACCAAATGCAGTGAATATCTAGGACTGCTTCATGCTTAGAGGAAATTTTTCTCAGGCAACCCTACAAAGATTCTTAGTCACTTAAGAATACCCAAGCAAGGGCCAGAAAGAGTTTACCGGCTGCCGCCAGAACCACGATGTTTCCAAGGCATGAGCCCCTCTCTTTCTTGGGGTGAAGCCCCTCCAGGGCATCCTGCCCTCCTCCCCGGGGCTTCTGGCAACTTCTCCGGGATCTACTGTGTTATCACACTGGATGCCTCTCGGCACCCATCTCTGCCACTCCAAATTTGGGGATCTGAACAACTATTGTGGCCTCATTGGCTGTTTCGGTTGAGGAAGCAAGTATCCTTTCTCTTTCAGAGCTTAAGAGAGTTTAGTCTCTCCTTTAACCAGCAAAGGTTTTGTTCAGACTCCCAGTAAGCAATCCAATTAAAAGCAGCCACCCATTTTACTTCTGGTTATCAACCCTTATCTACTTTGAGGATTTTCTAAAAAAATAGCTCAGATAAAACAAGAAGGCCCAAATTCCAAGAAAAGACTCACCAAGGTTCACCTAATGGGAAATGGGGAGCTGATGAGGCACAGTGGGCCCCTGCTGGTACCTAGCACTGGGTCCAGGCCTGCAGTATGATGCCAAGTAAATGTTGACATAAGAAGTGTCCAAACCTGTAGAGAATTTTTATAAGAGTTTGAGTCAAAACTGGAAGCAAGATCTCAAATGCTCCAGAGAATAAGTTTTGCAGTTTCTTTTATGACTTTGAAATTGAGGGAAAGTAAGGAAGATTACAAGAGGGTGGGAGAAAGCAAGGTATGATTAGATTACAAGATTATGTGCTTTCTTGAGGGTGGTTATACCTTCCAGAGGTATTACCTCTGGCATTTCAAAGGTGTGTTCACCTAGATGCATAAGAACCATGGGCAAGGCTGGCTTAAAATTACCTTTCACTGAAGAAGTTATAGGCCTGGGTTGTGACTACCCATCATGACCTACCCAGTTAGGAATTTATGATTTATTACAGCATCCCTTTTTTGTCCACAGGAGAAACTTTTTCTTTTAATTCTCAGCGTCCCATTCTATGCTCAATATGTCACTTCTGGTCATCAAATGTGGTGGTGTCTTTAACCCTGTATCAAGCAGTTGTCTAACACCAGGTGGATGTGCTACAGTTCAATTCAGACACTATCGATCTGGAGTTAGCGTCAGATCCCACAGGCTAAGAGCTTAGTCCCGCGAGACCACCGTTCTTCCTCAGACACCAATCACACGTCTGGTTTATCGCCTGTGCTTCTGACCAACTGGTTATAAAACTGGAGGTTTTCGTGACCCTATCCTCGAGTTCAATGCTTTATTAGAACAGCTCACAGGAAAATAGCTTACTTACTAGATTACCAGTTTATTGTAAAAGAATATAATTAAGGAACAGGGAATGGAAAACATGTATAGAACAAGGTATGGGGGAAGAGGCTCCTCTCTGAGTACAGCACCCTTCCAGCACTTCCATGTGTTCACCAACTCTGCTCTCTGAACCCTGCAGGTCAGGGAGTTTTATGGAGACTTCACTATGTAGGGATGACTGATTAAATCGTGGACCACGGGTGGTTGAACTCAATCCCCACCCCCTCTCTGGAGGTGTGTTGGGTAGGGCTGAAAGCTCCAACCCCTCTAATCATTTGGACAAGCCCCCCAGCCTTAGAGACTTTCCAAAACCCACCTCATTAATATAAATTCAAGTGTGGTTGAAAGTGTCTTACTGTGAATAACAGACAGCACTCTTTTCACCTTTATGGATTTTATCACGTGGGAAATTCCAAGGGTTTTTAAGAGCTGGGTGCCAGGACTAGGGACAAAGACCAAATATATATTTCTTATTATAAATCACAATATCACAGTAGCATACTATTCTAAATCATTGGGTTAAGAACTCTAAGACCTGGATTCTAAATCATTTACCAGCAGTGTAATTTTTGAACAAATCACTTAACTTATTTGGGACTCAATTTCCTAATATGTTGAATGAGAGAGCTGTTTTAACACACTTTAAAGAGAAATACCTGCTTTGAGTCCTGATTTCTGATTGTTTCTTCTGGCAGAGGTCTATCTCTAATGTATCTTCCAATGACAAGAATTGATTTATCATATATGCAACACTTACACACTACATACGCTATACCTGTTTAATCAGAATCCCAGAACAGGTGACAAATAACCATCTATTGATAAAGTTGAATTTCACTATTCACATCCTTAAGACATATCTCAATATGCAAAATTTAAACGTTATTTGGAGAGTCATGATTTCCTTAAATATGCCTACATTTTTATTTATAATAATTTTATTTCCTGTACTCATAACAAATCATTCAAATTATTTTATATTGTACATGTGCTATATGACCATGTAATATATGATATATGTATATTATGCCATGATAACATATTGCTACAGTTTTCATAATCTTTGAAAAAGCCCTGCTAAGTATTCTATACATAACCATCAGCAAACTCCTATCAGCTCTAAAGAGACATAAACTATAATTAACTGGTATCTTTTTACTTACCTTTCTTTTTAGGTACTTGGATAAATCATGGCCAGGGGCTGGTCAAGGAATATAATAAACACTTAATTTGGACATATGAGGCACCACATTTGGGCTACTGGATAGCAGCTTCACTTCCAGGAACTAGAGGTTTGTACAAATGAAAAAAAAGTAATGAAAAAAAATAAAATCCAAATAGTCATCCTGGAATTCATATCATCAGATCTCCATTTCATGCTAAGCATTGCCACTTAACCGCTATATGACACTGGAAAAAGCTTCTAGTCTCTTTATCTCAGCTTTGTTTTTTTCACATGTATAAGAAAAGGTTAAGCTTCATGAACTCTTAAGGTCTCTTATAGCTATCATGTCTGACAAATCTGTGCTGTATGAAATTTGTTCAAATCAAGTTTTTTTAATTCCCCTTAGTTTACTTTTTTGTGAATAAATTCTACCCAGATCAGTGAGAGCTTTTGGTTGTAAGACACAGGAACAGATTTTGGATAATTAAAATAATATTAGGATACAGCAAGTTCACAGGATGCCAGGGAAGACTGAAGAGCCAGATTCTAAAAGGCGGAAGCCCCAGAATCCCAGTTAGCACGCCTGCCTGACAGTCTTCACAAGATCACAGCTCATGATGGCTGACGCTAACCCTTTGCAGTCTTTTCTCACACTGTTCCTGATTACTCTAGGGATGAAGAATTTGGATGGCCCAGACTTATGTCATGAGCACACCCCTTGATTAGGGTTGGGGGTAGTAGTGTGGAGGAAGGGCTGTTGAATTATAGTGTCCCCAGATTGTTCCCAAGAGAAGACAAGTGATACCCCAAATGAAGATTGGCTTGACCTATGAACAGAGGTGGACAAAAACTAAGAATTGTCCACTTAGGGATGATCTATTCATATTCTAGATGAAATGAGCATTTCATTTTTTTCTAGATTTAGCATGGTATCAAATTACCTATATTGTTTGTACCTAAGGAAATTCTACATTTATGGTGAATTGTGTAAATCTCTCAAAATAGTCAAACATTGCATATATGATCTGTTAAATCTTTAAAAAAGAAAACTCTTCTAACCTGCTATAATATCATGTAATGTAATGTATGCCCCATGGGCCTGCCACCACCTTGGGGCTTATGGCTGGTCACTGGTGCAGACTGAGCTGCCTTTGGACGTTTCCTGATGCCAGCTTTGTTAAGTCAACTTGCCGCCCGTCAGCATCTTGTTGCTCTTGTGTCTTATCTCATTCTTCCATAACCTGTGGGTTTATATATTTACAAAAACAAAACAAAGCAAAACTTTGTGTCATTTTAGTGATGTTTTGGGAGTATGAGAGTTGAATGCCTATCTCATTCCTTCATCTTTAAATCGTGTATCACAGATAATTCTTTCAGTTTATCGAGTGTCTTGGCTGCCAGCTGAGAGGTAGCTGAGACCTGGCGGATGCATGCTGGTCGGGAATAGTCCCAATGCACGTCCTGACCCAGGATGCGAATGACATTTTACATAACATCTCTCTGCAGCAGCCCATCATCCAACTTTATTAAAGCCATTTATTAACAATTTGAAGGCTCTCACAGTTTTTAATGAAACACTTTTTTTAAAATAGTTTTTGATTTTCATTTTATGTTGACAACCTTTGAATTTTAAGTTGTGCAAGGTAACAAGACTTTTTTTAATGAAGCCAAAATTTAGTATTCCAAAAGAAGAAATAAAAGCCATTAGCCATATATGATCAAGAGGGATGTTCTCTCTGTTTCTGTTTGAACTTAGTACTTAGGAGATTATTTATTCAGAAGCCAGAGGGTAGTTACTTTTGTTCTTCATGATGCAAAATATCACACAGTCTTACCAGCTGTCTTATTCCATTCTAGGTTTGCAACTATAATGAAATATTGATGAAAAAGAATATTAATATTTAATACTTCAACTCAACTAAATTCAAGTTATTTCATTTTTAATAAAAGTAACCTAAGGAGTACTTGAGTTTTACATAGAAGTGTACCTTCCACTAAACATGTATCTGAAACAACCAACTTATATACGATAACTTTATGAATTATAAAAGCTCAATAATTTTCTAAAATAGGTTAAGGTTTTTTGTTTCAGCTTGTTGGGAAAGATTTTATGTGAATCAGAGTACTAAAGTAGAGGTGTAGGATTCCCGTTTAGTTTGAACTAGATACCTTCTAGTAATGCTTTTATTCTACAAGCATATCACAGTCAAAGGAACACTACTAGAAACATGGATAAGTTGATTATAGCTCTGGCTTTGCCAGTAACTAACTGGGTGAGTTTGAAACAGCTCATCTGAGCATGAGTTTTCTTGTTTTTATATTGCTGGAGTTGGATATGGTGATCCCTAATATCCCAAACGTTTTAGGATGTAACTACTGTAAAATCAAAATGGGATAGTTACTCTGCTGGAGCTAATTTAGTCGTAATTTAATTAATATGTGAATCTGTTTTTAAAATAAATCTTAAGTAGAATTCTAGAATTCCTTGAAAAAAATATTAAGTACAAAAATTAAAGCCAAGTGGTTTTTCATAGATTGTTATTGTTCTAGGTAAGTATGCAGCTGAATATAGAGTTTAATAAACAAGTGCTTGTTAATGTTTTTAAATATGCATTTTCAAATATATTTTGGTTTCAATGAAAATACATTGTAACCCCTTCTGGGTATACACACACACACACACACACACACACACACACACACACACGCAAATGCATAATTTTTGGCTATTGTCATACATACTAGGTGTGATCAACAAATACAGTGAGGGTTTAAATTTTTAAAAAATGTATTATAGTAAAAGACACATTGCCTTTAATCCCTCTTAAAACACTCCCCCTCGCTTCGAACGCACTTATCCCATCGTTCCTGCCACTTTCTGAAGCAGTTCTGGAAGTCCCCTTTTGTGCGTGTCTTTAGTTGTGCTGTTGTGGCTGCCTCGATGCCCTGAATTGAATCAAAATGTTTACCTTTCACGGTCAGTCTTACTTCAGGGAAGAGCCAGAAGTTGCACGGTGCCAGATCCGGTGAATAAGGTGGATGAAGACACACCATAATGTTTTTATTTGACAGAAATCGCTGTATCAGAAGCAATGTGTGACACAGAGCCTATCTGTTATGATCAGAAAATATGGTGAATGCTGCTGCAATCCAATGGAAAGGTGCCATCCAATGGAAAGGCAGGGATCTTTAATATAGGAAGGGGCGCCTCCAACCTTAGTAACAGTGTGTGACAAGTTTCAACTTGTTTGGTGCATTCAGCTGTGAGCTACGGTTGAGAGAAGGTGTGTTTTAAAGTGTGCCATAAATCATTCTCCATCATGACAGTGCTCTGTGTCACACATCGCTTCTGGTATATGGCAATTTCTGTCAAATAAAAACATTGCAGTGTGTCAACATCCACCTTATTCACCGGATCTGACAATGTGTGACTTCTGGCACTTTCCCAAAGTCAAAATGATTCAGGACATCGAGGGAGCCACAACAGCGCAATTAAAGACACGAAAAAGGACTTCCAGAACTGCTTCAGTAAGTAGCAAGAATGATGGGATAAGAGTGTTTGAAGCGAGGGGGAGTATTTTGAGGGAGATTAATGGCAATGTGTCTTTTACTGTAATAATTGTTTTTATTTAAACATTATTGTATTGTTTAATCACACCTTGTATAGTATCAGCTTCCTAGTTCCAAAAATGAGTTTCATTGAAATCCTGTGGAATAAAAATTGTTAGCATTACTGTATTGTGGAAACATATACTCTCATATTCTTAGGAGCAGAAGTTGAATTTCCCAGTTATAATCAAACTTTACTCAGTAGCAGCTCTGGATCCTGAATAAGAACCCGCAGATTGCATTGTTTCTCCTTTTTTTTTTTTTTTTTTTTAAGCTGAGCCATCTTGCCACCTGTTGGCAGCTCAGCGGCAGCTCAGTTCAGGCCGGGCATCGAACTGCTGTTGCTCAGAGCTTAAACTTTTGAGCGAGCTCTTAACCAACTGAGCCACTTGGCCGGCCCACTCATTCCTTTTTGATTGAAGAAATATATTGTGTAATGCTATACTTGGTTGCCTGTTAGATATAAGTGCTCTATTATTAGTTACCATATTTGAAAGTGTGGCCAACACTGGAGCGCTTGTCCTTACATAACCTTGAAGATTCATTTAACAAGGGTATAGTTTAGCCAACCCTTGAGTGCTTATCATGTGCTAAGCACTGTTCTGTTCTCAGTATCTTATAAGTGTTAACTCATAACAGCCCACATGGGTTACCTATGATGGATATGGACTGAGACACAAAGAAATGAAACTTGCCCAACACCACGTAGAAATAAATGGTAGGCCAAGATTCTATTTCAGGCACTCTGGCTCCAAAGTCTATATGTATGTCCACAGTGCTGCTTCTCCAAATCCTTTACCGTTACTGTTACTTTACTTTTATTAAATGAGGAATTTAAAGAATAGATCTAAGGACCTTGTGGCCCTCAGCCTCTTCTAGTATTCTTGGTGAAGGTGAGAGTCTCATTCTGGACGTTTTCTCATGGGAGAGATAACCAGGAAACCAGTTGCCCTACCACTCTCATCACCTTATCACCCTGAATACATATTACAGTTTAGTCAGTACTGATCAGTAGACTTGTTATACATTGCATTGTCGGAAGAGTCATGACATATTTTATCTATGTTTTTCAAAGGTCATTTATTTATATAAAGAACAAAGATCAACCAATGATATATTGCCCATTTTGTTCAATAACCTTTTGCCATCTTTCAATGAACTTCGTAATCCCTCATTCATAGAAGGACCTGTCTTTATTTGCGAAAAAACTGAACAAGGTGCTGATTACAGCCTCATCTGAATTGAACGTTATACCACGCAAGGAGTATTGAAAAGAGTGAAACAAGTGGAAGTCTGATGGCACAAGGTCAGGCGAGTATGGTGGGTGTGGCAACACATCCTATCCAAGCTCCAATAATTTTTGACGGATTATCAAACTTATGTGTGGTCTCGTCACGATGGAACACAACTCCTTTACAATTAACAAGCTCTGGACGTTTCTGGATGATGGATTCATTCAAACTGTCCAATTGCCGACATTACACATTCAAATTGATTGTTTGGTTCCTTGGTAGGAGCTCAAAAAACACAACACCTTTAAAATCCCACCACACTGAGAGCATAACCTTCCCCTGATGAATGTCTGCTTTTGATGTCATTTGAGGCGAATCATCACATAGGGACCACGACCGTTTGCACACCACATTGTTGTAAACAATCCGCTTCTCATCACCAGTTATCAGTCATTTCAAAATAGGATTGTTTTCCTCACGTTTAATGAGCATATGGCAGATGTTTATATGCGCTGTCAAATGAACTTCTTTGAGTTCATGCGGAACCCAAATATCGAGCTTGCTTACGTATCCCAGCTTCTTCAGGTGGTCATGAACGCTTGAATGATGGATGTCCAATGCTTCTGCAGTCTCTCTTGTCATGTAACGTGGATTTGACTCGATCAATGCCTTTATTTTGTTGTCATCAACCTCAGTGGCCTCCCTGATTGAGGAGCGTCGTTGAGATCAAAATCACCAGCACGGAATTTTGTGAACCATCGTTGGCACTAACGTTCATTAGAGCATTGTCACCATAAACTTTATGCAACTTTTCACAAGCTTGATGCGCGTTCTTCCCTTTATGGAAGTAAAACAGTAAAATATGGCAAAAATGCACAGTTTGGTCTTCCATCTTCAACTTGTAAAATCTCCAAAAGTCAACCAAATTGCTCAATTTTTTTTTTTAGAATGAAGCTAGAACTGTCAGCTGTCAAATGACATAGCAATAACATAGATGCGAATGACTCCAGTACTTCCAAAAATGAACTAGTGCCATCTGTTGCAAACATGTGTCATGACTTTTCTGACAACCCAATACATTTTTTGAATAAAATGAAGTCTTCAAGATACTGAAACAGATTACCTCAAAATTAGTTGCCCAATAGCATTGCTTTTCACGCCAAGCCTTAATAGCCAACACTCATCATTGTAGTATATTAGTCAGCTTTTACTGCAAAACAACATTGTATCTATGTGCTCATTCATAAAGGAGGATTGTGAGTTAACTGTGCCTCTCCTGGGCTCAGCTTACAGGGATCATGGCATCTTATTCTAGAGCCCAGGCTGAAGGAGTTGCAACTTTTAATCCTTCAAATCCCAGAATTTTTTGATTCCCTAGTCCTTTTATCTCTGTTTGCTTTGGCAAATTCTTTTTTGAATTTATCTTACATTTTCTTTTTTAACTAAATACAGTTAGTAATAGCCCACACTCACTACCAATATTCTATCTCAAAACTTCTTTGCACAAAGCTCAAATTAATTGGAAATATTTTGCTACTACGTAACTGGGGTTAGCAGTTTTAGTGCCTACTGAAACCATTTCCTCACTGCTCCTCCCTGGCCTAGAAGCCAGTGTCACGTATTTTAGTCTTCTGTGACAGCACCATTTTAGCATCTCGGTACCAATGCCTGTAATAGTCAGCCATTGCTGCAGTTAACACACAAACTTGTTATCTCAGTGGCTAACAATAGCAAACATTTATTTGTTGCTTACATTCAATAACTGTCGGGCTTGGCTTGGATCAATTCAACATTTATTCTCATTCCAGAACATAGGTTGAAGAAATAGAAACTCTCTGGGATGTATTATTTGTATATGAGAGAACCTTAGCAAGAGGGCAGGGCCATCTCATGCAACCTCATTTAAGGTGCTCACATTGCATCAAGCAGAGCAAGTCAGTTGGTTAAGCCCAAAGGGCAGGGAAGGTAGTCTCTACCCAATGGGAAGCCTGCCATGGGAGGGGAGCAAACAAATACAAGTTTTTACACATATTCAATCTGCTTCACCCAGGCTAGGACACAGTTGAAAATGTGATCTAAAATTACATATTTTCTCTTTATTTTGTTTGTTCGTTTATATTGAACCATTTAGGGTCAGGTATAAATGGAGACTCAAAGGACATAACTGCCTACCACACTGTGTTTCTCACGGCCATATTAGGAGGAACGATAGTCATCGTCATTGGATTTTTTGCTGTACTTCTTTGTTATTGCAGGTAAGAAAATATTAATCAATGTTTATAAACCCAGAAAACTATCAAATTATAGTCTCATGTCAGTATGTTCTAGATATTACAAAGTTTATTTGTAGAAGTCGGTGGTTTGATCTTTAAAATGTGACGATTAAAATTAAAATGGACATAGTGTATCAGTAGCGTTGCTATATAATGTACATATTGTGGGATGGCGTTTTTAAATGAACCTTCTAGACTGTAAGTTTTAAACATGCTTTGCCTTCTCTTGTACTGTAGGGATAAGTGTGGTACTCCACAGAAAAGAGAGAGAAATATCACTAGACTTGAGGTCCTCAAGAGAGATCAGACCACTTCAACAACGCACATAAATCATATCAGTTCAGTCAAAGTCGCATTAAAAGCTGAGGACAAGTCTCAGTTATTCAATGCCACAAACTCTTCATACAGCCCTCAAAAAAAGGAACCATCAAAGGCAGACGCAGAAGCAAGAGTGTCCATGGTAAAAACTCGGGACAGTTTTAAAATCTACAATGAAGAGGTTTCATTTCTGTCAGCCAGTCAAAATAATTACTCAAGGCACCCAACACAGTCTTTGGAGTCCGGTGTAGGGTCCAAACAACCTAAGCATATTAGCAACAATCTGTCTTCCTCTCTATGTGATGCTCAAGAGGAAAAGAGGTATCTCACAGGTAATGAAGAGGTTTATGGGCGTTCCCACATTCCTGAACAGCTTATGCATATCTATAGCCAACCCATTGCCATTCTTCAAACATCTGACCTTTTCTCCACTCCAGAGCAGTTACATACTGCTAAGTCAGCTACTTTGCCAAGAAAGGGACAGTTAGTCTATGGCCAATTGATGGAACCAGTAAATAGAGAGAACTTTACACAGACATTGCCCAAAATGCCAATGCATTCTCACACACAGCCCCCAGATGCCGGGGAAGAGAATATCCCACTGGAAGGTCAACAGAGCTTGCCATCCCAAACTTCAGATTGGAGCCGGTATTCAAACAGCTTACTAGAATCTGTTTCTGTTCCTGGAACGCTCAATGAAGCTGTTGTAATGACTCCCTTTTCATCAGAGCTTCAAGGAATTTCTGAACAGACCCTCCTGGAGCTGTCCAAGGGAAAGCCCTCCCCTCATCCCAGAGCCTGGTTTGTGTCTCTTGATGGAAAGCCAGTCGCACAAGTCAGGCATTCGTTTATAGACCTGAAAAAAGGCAAGAGAACCCAGAGCAATGACACTAGTCTGGACTCTGGGGTGGACATGAATGAGCATCACTCAAGCAGAAAACTCGAGAGGGAGAAAACTTTCATCAAAAGCATGCATCAGCCTAAGATTCTTTACTTAGAAGATTTAGACCTGAGCAGTAGTGAGAGTGGAACCACTGTTTGCTCCCCCGAGGACCCAGCTTTAAGGCACATTCTAGATGGAGGGAGTGGAGCTATCCTGGAGCACCCTGGGGAAGAGTCCCCAGGAAGAAAAAGCACTGGTGAAGATTTTGAAGCCAATACATCCCCCACTAAAAAAAGAGGCAGACCACCACTAGCCAAAAGAGATAGCAAAACTAATATCTGGAAGAAACGAGAGGAACGTCCACTGATCCCCATAAATTAACACTACGGATGGTTGTGTCTCTGCTGTCTCGTGCTGTTGATTATTGCTTCTTGTTGTAAATTGCAGTATGAACTTCCTAGGAAGGTGAGACGGAGCTATCTCATGGTCCCTGGACGTGTCTTAAGCAGAGTAAATAGTAAAATGGTAATTCAGTAGTGAGAGAAAAAGAGCCTAAGGAATGCTTTTTCTGACCCATTCTTTTCATTTATTTTTGGATGATAAATTTGAAGTATCCAAGAGTTCAAAATATAAAATAGCTTCAAGACTTCAGTTATCTGAAAATGTTGCTTAATCAGCCAATTTGGCCCCGACTCTCTTAAGAATAACATTGTGAAACGTGTACTCTTAAAGTTGCTTCCAAAAATGTTGCCTCTGCTTCAATGGCTACCCCTGTGAAATATTTAGAAATGAAACTATTCTTCAGGCATCATATTCTTGTGACATGTTACTATTATGTTCTCTGATGCCTATACTTGAAAATAACTTGATAAATGTTCTGGGTTGATGTAATTCTAGAGTTTAAAGGCCAACCAACATTTTCTTTTTTGTGTGATAAACAGCATGTGTATAGTATCAACCCCTAGGTAAATGCCATATTTATGTAAGATGAGCAAGAAGCTACTTGGTTGTTAGAGATGGAAACTCCAGCAATGTGGTACTTTTTGAATACAACTTTACAGAATAAATGGTAAGGTGTTAATTTGTTATTTAGAAATCTGAGAAATGAATACTGATATTGAAATTTAATTTTGAATTTTTTTTTATTTTATTTTATTGGGGAACAGCCATGGTCATTGGTTACACATTGCTTTCATGCTACAATGGCATAGTTGACTCTTAAGGAGAGCGCAGCTCATGATCGCCCATGCGGGGATCAAACCGGCAACCTTGGTGTTATCAGTACCGTGCTCTAACCATCTGAGCTAACCGGTCACCCCTATTTTGAATCCCCCCCCCCTTAAAAGTAAAGTGAGTTTATCTGTCAAGGAAAACTTGTAACCAATCTGAAAAAAGTAAATATCTTTAAGACTCAGTGATACATATTAGCTAAAATCAATTTTTTAGATATTTCTTCTATTAAAAAAATTCTCACATTTAAATGCTATTAAATTTGATTCTTTAAAAAAATCAATGAATTGAAAGTTTCTTGTGAACACTAAAAAGTTAACAAAATATGAGGAGCTAAAGGGAATAAACATTTCAATTTTTTCTGAAATGTCGATGAGCTGAAAAAGAAATGTCATTTCCCTGAGACTCAAAACTACCTTCAGGACATTAAGTATATCTATAGATTTTTTTTTTCTGTTCACATTCATAAAATATGCTTGAGAAAAACAGTTTCAATTTCATGGGAAAAGTAAATGTTTTTTTCTTAAATCACTTAGTAGCCTTTGTAACATTTCCCCCTAGTTTTGCAAGTAATATAGTCATATCCTTTTCATCATAGTAAAGAATTCAGTGTGAACACATTCAACAGCTGTTTTTAATTACGTGTCTTCAACTCTGAATTATCAGTCATTCATAAGTCCTAAAAATAAAGCTCTTTGTTAATTATAATCAACACATCCCAATTTTCTTTAAATTTCCATGAAGGCAAATGTCCGAAGCAGCTTCCCCTGACCCATGGTGGGGAAAAATGAAATTAAATTGCTCATCCCTTATAATCAATATGAGAGCATATAAACAAGTTGAAAGAACCAAAATTAGCCACATTAGCTTTAGTCAAATTATAGATGGATGTACAATGAAAGACAACAGCTTTTTTTTGCCAAGATAGTAGACTTCAGCCAATTTTTTTCCTATAACCACTTCTGAAGCATCTAACCTGTCAGATAACACTGCTCCTTTTCTCTGTGAACCCAAAGAACTTAAAGACCAAGGCAAAAGTTTGCTATATTTTACCCCAATCCATAGAAGGGATAAATGTTTTGGGTAATAGATAGGTTTACTTTTTTGCAGGGGGAGGGTAGTGATAAGACCCAAAATTAAAGGAGGCTTCTTATTGGTCTTATACAGAAAGATGCATAAAAAGCGGCCTAAATGAAAATGACTTGGAAAAGGTTAAGGAGTTAGTGCTCTGCTGAAGTGCCTTTGATATAGACTTGCTTTATTAGAAGGATATGATAACATCTTTCTTAAATGTGCATTTTCTTTCTGTTACCCAAATTAAGCAGATGTGCGGTTTTTATTAATTAAATAAAACATAGACCTAGTGTTTCACGTTGGAACAATGAAGTGTGCATGCAAGTAATATTTATCTTTCTTTTTGGAACCCTGTTTATACTGATACCTTGTTTATGTTGGAATGAAGTTAGAAACTATATAGAAAATGTTGTACTTCAATATTTTAAGTGTATATTCCTCCCACCTTTAAGTAGAAGTGTTTCATCTCTCAGCTTAGTAATGGAATCCGTGGTTGATGTAAGGGTATGCCGCTTACTCATTCTTGTGTAAAGAAAATGAGAGGATGTAACCCCAAGGGCTTTTCTAGAAATACATTTTTGGGTTTCAGAATAAAACTTTATTTTTTTATACACTGCACATTCTGTTCTCAATTGGGAAGTATAGGCAATTTATCTTTTCTAATGATTAAAAATGTGTAACTTCTCATTTGTGAGTAGTCACAAATTTTCTGTTAAAAAGCTGAAGCCATCTACTTTTTCTTAACCCAAGTGATAATCTACAATATTCACAGCTTTCTTAAATTTTTAAATGGAAAAACCAACCCAGTTTTTTGCAAATGTAAACCTAGAGAATTTTGGTCACAAATTGTTAACATTTGTGGATCCTTTGTATATACTTTGGATATATCTTAAAAGCAAAATTATCCCTCAATTAACTGATGGATTCGTTTACTAAAGCACAGCTATATGTATTTTTGAATACATATTAAGATCTTGAGACTTTATAAAATCCATTTTTATGACATTTATGCAGTTGTATAGGGATTCCACCCTTTTATAATACACAGTATACCACAAAGATCACAAATGTTGAAGAATAAAAGCACTTCTTTGCTTTGGCAATCATTTTCAGATCACTTCTTCTGTGTTTGAGTCCTCTGGTATCGATGCATATTATAGAGTTTTAGGGATGTGTGGGTCAAATAATGTCCCTTAAAACTTCCCCGAAAGGTGAAGCTCAAAGTTACATATTCATTTATAGGCACTGAGTTACTCATTCCCCTGTGTACTATCTTTGTAAAGAATTTAACCACGTTAATCTCCTCCTCAGGCCTAGAGTTGACATTTTGCCCTCTTGTTTCCAAGTGTTTCTATCTTTTATATTCTTTCATCAGAGGAATCTCACATTTCACTGTATATTTATTGTCATTACTACTGTATTTACTGCTGAAAACTGTAACAAGCTGAAGATTTGTAAAATGTTAAACATAGTTCATTAAAGATAATAAAATAAATCAAAATGTACTTGATGCATTGTTTAATTTTGGATAAACTGAAATATTCCTCTCTAAATTGTCAATCTAGTAAATGCTCAATTATTACTTTTTTCCTATTATACTCCCTATAGTAAAATAAACATTATATATTTAAATACCCTTTGTTTACATAATGAACTTGATTTCTCTTTTTATGCCATGTTCTCCAAACTTCACATTTTTATTATGAAAGCTGATTATAGACAAATTGTTTTTCCTCCAATAAGAAGCTTTCTTAAGGTAATCTAGCAGAATGTAAAATAAGTTGCAATTCCCAAAATAGCTAAGTGAGAAAATGATATAACATCTTTTCACCTTTAAAAAAATTCTTTGGACTTTAAACCTAAGACTAAATGATAACAGTCTTTTTACACTTAGAATGTTAGATCTCCTTCAAGAGCCCTTTTCTGATCAATTAATTTAACAATACTTAAGTTCAGGCAATTTGCATTTTGAGCTTTAGAATATCTTTAGAATCATTGTACTGGCTGCCATATTTTTAGACATTTTGTATGACAAATCAATGTGGTACTAGAAATACCTTTGGTCAGTTCTCACTGGAATTGTGCTCTGAATCTACTCACAAATACAGTGTGGCTTATGACCCCCCGACAGTGGCATTGAAATAGACACTTGCATTTGAATCCCTGCCAAGTACAAGCCAGGTTGTGGCCATCTTTGTTTCACGGCCTGGTCTCCATCTGGGAAAGTCTGGCATCTTAACAGAAATGATGCAGCCCTTGGAAGTCATGCAGGACCCAAACTCAACATGGAACTGGTTGTAATAGAAAACTTATTTCATAAATCACAATCAGAAACTTAGCTGCCAAGCAGATGATGGTCATGAGCTGGTCATCACATTCTCATCTAAGAAGGGAAATGGTAGAAGACTGATATATAAAAACTATAACAAAGGTAGTTGGACAGAGTTAGGAGATATTTTAGTTGGACGGATTTAGGAGATATTTTAATGAGGATCAAAGTAATTCACCTATCAGTTCTTGATAATTGTGACAGCCAATCGGGCACTTCCCTTGAAATATATGCTGGAAAAATGTTGAACTATACTACAGTGTTGCCTTATCTAAACTTCATAAAATCACCTTTTGGCCTTTTTATAAGTACACTGCACAGATACACAATGAGACAGCTTAATTCCATCAGTGAGTTCTCTGTAAATCAATTGTGGGTTAATTTAAGAAGTCTGTTGTATTGTTTTAGATTTGAACTTGTTTGCTGCATCAACATGAGTATTATTTCCTTGACTTCTCTATTCCCTTTATTTTTAGCCTCTTTATTTTGGGACTGTGGACACCTGCCCATTAAGTTTTTTTTCTTTATAAAAATAGTTTCAGAATTTGACTAGAAAAAATCATCTAGAAATGAATCACAATTTATAATGTTAAATACCAAAAAGTTAATAAACTCAATTACAGATGATGGAAAAACATCTTTATTAAATATAGATAACACACTACTTAGGGGGAAAAAAATGAAACCGAGGGTCCTTATAACTTTGATTAAATTTTGTTTTAAATCCTAGTTCTAGAAATCATCTCTCTCTGTGTATATACTTAGAGATTTGGCTTCTCCCCACCCCACCCCGCAATCAACAACCCTGGAGGCAGCAGAAGACAGTAGCCGGGTCCAGACCTCTGGCAGGCTAAAGATAACATCTGACCTAAGATGATTCAGTTCCTGAGCCCTAAGGTGGAACGACCCCCTGGCTACTTTTCCATGAGACCGGACAGAGGGACTCTGGAAAGGACCTCGGCACTGTCTTCAAGACCTGAAGAAATGATTCATTAACTTACCTCACCTCCAACCAATCAGCTCTCAACATAACCCCAAACCCCAACCCACAGTGTTGCGATTTTGCCTTATATAATATGTAACCTACAGTGTTGCGATTTTGCCTTATATAATATGTAACCTACAGTGTTGCGATTTTGCCTTATATAATATGTAACCTACATCATCGGAGAGCTAGGTCTTAAGGGCACTGTATGATTACCCGTATCCCACAGGTCAAGAATTCAATGTGGGACTTGTACTAATTATGTAGTATGTTACTCTCAATTATACTTTTGGGGACTAGGGAGATAACTGCTGGGTGGATCTGAAGAAATAGTGGCACCATTACAAGCCAGATATTTCTCATGACTCCATTTATGACCTGGCCCCATTTGCTCCAATTCTAATAGCGGGACCATGATAAAGCTTCAAGTTTCTGGATATCAGTGTAAATCAAGACAGTGTCCAACAGTCCTTGAAATGTTTGGCTATTTCCATTTCCCCAACCAAAATACCAACTCATCCCGGTTTGTTCAGAAATTTCCCAACTAAAAAAAGTCCCATGCTCCAAGACACCCCTGAGTTCTGAGAAAACTGGGATGATTGGTCACTATAAAAATTACCAAGTAAATGACTTTTGGGGAAGGAGTAGGGAAATCATTACCTAGTATATTTTCTGTGCTATTGCAATTTCCTTCCTATTAGGGACTTGGCCGCCTCTTCAGTCAGTGGATTCTGGGTCGGAAAACTACCTCAGGTCCAGAAATTAAACACTTGATTGAGACTTTTAACTAGGACAATTGCCCTTGGCCTCCTGGTCATCCGTTCTTGATTCTTATGATAGTGCAAACTGATTGGAATACGCTTATTGGACTCCCACCAATTATGCCCCTAGTGACACTGTTTGAGTAACCATCTCTGTCTCTTGGTTCAGGCTTCCTGGCTGCTACTCTGACCCTACCGCTTATTACTATAAGTTCATCCCCCTGGATTTTGATAATTAAATGCTAGTACCTGGACCTAATTTGGGTCCAATCATCCCCATGGCTGTCACTGAGCCTGGGAATAAGATCCTCTCCAACTATCAGCCCTGGGTATAGAAGAGACACCACTGAGCCACTGGCGGTTCTGGTGCTTGGAGAAGAACATTGTTTGGGGCTTTGGTAAAGGGTGTATTTTATAGGTCTGCCCATGGGACAGAACCATCTGGTGGGGCTCCTGGCCTTACAAAATATATTCACTCCAGCATGCTGGCTTCAAAGGGATGGGAAATCCCTTGGTCTACTGTCGGCTATGGAATTCTGGTATTTCAACTTCCGTTAGCATTGGCCATGGCTTTTCTAGGCCTCTAGGAGTCATCTCAGTAGTGAGCATACACCATTATCTGGATGGCCCTCACATTCATATTCTCACCCAGCAGTTAAACGCAATGTCATTAGAATGCTCTCAAGTCAATAAGATCTCCCCTGCCCGTTCGTATTTTCAGGTCCCCTTGATTAAGCACTCTCAGAATTCAGACCCACAGGTTTTCCTCCAGTACCTGCCAATACACAATGCCTCAGTCTTGCAGCTTCTTTGGGATATTAGCTCTTATTAGCACAGCATATCCCTGACTGAATTATGCTGTGGCTTAACCTAATTACATGTCTAGTGGCCACAACAGAAGGTAAAGGCAGATCCTGAAGGGGGCACATGAGGGTTTGTGGAAAGAGGACTCTGCATTATCTTCAAGCAAGGGAGGTGGGCAGGCTAGCTCTTAAGAGGAAGAGATGACTCACTTCTGCATTTTCAGAGGGTTCAGAAGAGTCTGGGGGTTCAAAATGTTCAGGGTCATACACCTAAATGTTCTCTTCCCAAATATTAGGACCCCAGTTTTTCCTCAATCTAACCCTGCTCTTGTCATAACTAAGCTGACTTGAATGAGCATTTAGCATTAATTGGAGCTCTGCCACTCTGTTAACTCTTGGGCCTCAGGTTCCTCTGCCTTCCTGCTGTAGGAGACACTTGGTCAGCTCTCAGGAAGGTCTGTTGGCTTTCCTGCTTTGGTGTTCAATTGCCCACACCTTTTCACGATCTTTATCTAGGGTAGCAATGGGCTTAACAATATCCATCCGTTTCCATTGTCCTTATAGTTAGCTTCCCCAGTACTCCTCAAATGTCGACACTTTACACCAACTAATGCAAACTCCTCTCCCAGTGGTATACCATCATAACTCACCAGTGAAGAGAGTTTTAATAATTGGACACTAGAGTTTTAATAAGTGTCTGTGTTTCACTTACCAATGACAGTCTCATTGCCACCTGGGTTGAAAGCGATCCACCTTCCAAACCCCAGTTTATCACCTACTTTCTCAGACCCCTCACATCACCAACAGGCATAGATCATTTCTTCCAATCTTAAATAAGATTTGGTGTGCAAGCTATTTTTTAAGCATTAACACCTGTGAAAAGGATAAGCCTGATTATTTTTTTAAAAATTATTTTTTAGTATGAAATACACATTTTTTAGAATTAGTGTCAGCTGTACAACACAGTGCAATAGTTATACTTTTTACCCCTCGAAGTGACAACCCCCCTCCCCCAATCCGCCGCCCCATTTCCCCCCAATAT